TTTCACTCTGCGACCAGTGCATGCTTGTGTGTGTGGAGTTTAACTCTGTGCCTGTGGGGGCAGCACTGGGTTTCACTCTGCACCTGCATGTGCATGCATGTGTGGGGTGAGGGTGGGGATTTAACTGTGCACCTGTGCGTGTGCGTATCTTCAGCCCTCAAAAGTGTCTACAATATATGATGGGGCCCTCTTGCTATAAAGTTTGGAGACTGCTGCTCTAGATAGAACTGTGCCATACATATGGTGAGGTTGGTGAAATCACTGTATGAAAATCAGGAAACCATTATATGAACTCAATGTGGAGACAGTGACTGGTTTAAGATTGGGATAGGTGTGTGACAAGGTTGCATCCTGTCATCTTTGTTATTCAACTTGTATGCTGAAATGATAATCAGAAAGCTAAGGTTAGAGAATCAAACATTGGGGTAAAAATTGGTGGAAGAAACATCAATAACCTTTGATATGAGGATGACACAACCCTCCTCTCAGAAACCCAGGAAGGTCTAATGTACCTGATCATGAAACTCAAAGAAAAAAGTCAGAGATTTGGCTTTTTTTTTTAATATTAAAAAACCCAAACTCATGACAGCTGCAAAGAATTGAAACAGAAAAATAGCAAATTGTGGAGAGGTTGAATGTGTGGAAGAATTCGTATTTTTACGTTCACTGGACATTCAAAATAGTGATTGCAGCCAAGAAATTAAACATCGAATCATGCTAGTTCACATAGCAATGATAAGTAGGAATCAAATATGGAAAAGTAAAGATGTCAGCTTGATGACCAAGTGCAGATTAATTCGCACCATCATGTTCCCCATAACTACATATGGCTGTGAAAGTTGGACAATGAAGAAGATGAAAAGAAGGAAAATTGATTCTTTTGAGCTATGGTGTTGAAGAAAGCTCTTGCGCATTCCATGGACTGCAAGATAACAAATAAAGAAGTGTTGAAGTGCATAAAACTGGACTAGTCACTGGAAGGCAAAATAACAAAACTTAGTTATTTCGGCCATGTCATGTGATCAGCATCATGCTCGGAATGGTCAGTGGTAAAAGATGAGGACACCAAATAATGTGTAGGTTGAATGTAATCAAAGCAGATACTGACAAAAATATAACACAGCTGAAAGAAGCTATACAAGATCGGAAATCATGAGGAGAGCTGGCTTGTGAAATTGCCAAGGATCAGATACGACTGAATGGATAATTCAATCCAAGATGAAACTGGATTTCAACTCCCATCAGTTCACCATGGTTTTTCTGGCTAAGGCTGATGGGACTTTTCGTCGAACAACATCAGGGCCACAGGTTGACCACCCCTTCTCTGTTTGCTTTTACTTCCTCTTGGAAGTCCACCCCAAATACCAAAACTGAGTAACTTAAGGATGAATTGTTTTTTGTTTTCACATTGGCATGTGTATTATAGCAAATAACGCATAATGAAATTTGAAGGCTCTTTGTCAAGGACAGGAATATTTATTTCCTCTAAAAATATTTCTGCCTGGAGCTCCTGATTACAATGAAACAAAGATCTGGTGACATGTGCTGCCCACAATTGCAAATCAGAGCGGAAGAAGGCAGGTGTTGCTGTGAAGCAGAAATATGCCCAGACATAGGAAAAATAGAAATTTTGACAGAAACAGTGCCTGAATACACATTATAATAAAGCAAAGAAAGATGAACTGCAGATGAACTTCAGGAGTTGTTTACAGTGTGTGCAAAGCCTTAAGGACATCACACTCCTTGTTTTTTTTTCCCCAGCACTCAGTGCTGCAGCTGCCTCGTGGAGGAAAAAAAATGCAGCATTTTGTACAGAGATTGGAAATGTTTAAAAGGAAATGATGTTGAGAAAACTAGAAGTAAGCATAAGTGGCAATGATAATTGTTCATGTCCAAGCAGGCACTAGTGGGGTATCCATCAAACAGTAGGAAAAAGTAGAATCTATAAGAAAATATGGCAGTATGACTGGTTTTGGTCAGAGTTTCAGTGACCCCATTCTGCAGACACACTTCTTAGTTTTCTTTCCATTCCAACACAAGTCAGCATCCTGTGTCTACTGAATATTGAATAGCTCTCATAGAATGGTTTTTTGGGGGGCCTTTCCGTCCCCCCAACCCCAACCACTTCTCCTGGCCTTTCTGTCCCCCCCCAACCCCTGGGAAGCAAAAAAAGTTAGTCCTCTTGTAGCCCTTGATTCTCTGGCTGATAGATCGGGCCCGAATTCACTGGGCTTCCACTGTCTGGTTTCAGTTCCCGCAATACCTCCGATACCTTCCTCTTGTGTGTGGCAGAGGCATTTTTGTTACACAAGGACTGGCACTTGGAGAACTAACATCACTGTGTGTATACGAGATCCTCTCAGCAAAATATTGCAAATTTATATCAGGATTGCATACATTACCTGAGCCTGTGAAGATTGTGTAGGAGTTAACATCAAAGGCCAGAATCCTGTTGAACACCAGCAGAGCATGTTGTACTGCTGGTGTAGTTCTCAGCCTCTCTTGTGAGAGTGAAAATCATAAAGAGCAGCTCTTTATAAATCAGCAGGCCTTCTGCTTGCAGAAGGAGATACTGGATGTCTTATTACCCAAGTGCCGAAAATCTAAAACTGCTCACATGAGCCTAGACAAAAAAAGAATTTATTCATGGGCTATTCTATGTTATTTAGTTTTTGCACATTTAACTATACAGTGAATTTGAATACAAATCAGTGGAATATGAGGATTCTGCATGCAGTAGTCTGCTTTCGTTTGGGAGGTTGTCCAAGTGGTAAAGCGACCTGATTGACTTTTCCTGCTGCTTTGGCTGAGAAGTATGGGGATTTTTTTTCCTGTGGAGACTCTAAACCAGCCTTGGACCTGCCTTTAATTTTCCTACAATATTGTCTTATTGTTACCTCTGAACCCTCCCGATTACCTGTGCAAGAGATACATTTCAGAAATGAAGTACATAAAGTGGTTGAAGGAAATTGTACTTAGGAGCTCCAAGGCACTGGTTCTTAACCTTGGGTTACTCAGGAGTTTTGGACTGCAACTCCCAGAAGCCTTCACCACCAACTGTGCTGGCTGGGGTTTCTGGGAGCTGCAGTTCAAAAACATCCAAGTAACGAAGGTTAAGAACCATGCTCCAAGGGATCCCACCCCTAGTTGATCACAAGACGGGCTGCACTGTTGAACAGTCCATAAGGGCACCCAGTGCCTTTGGTGTATTGCACATAAGGATGAATGAGATGTGTTACTTTTATTCCCGTCAGATGTATGCTTTTTTTCCAGAAGGAGTTTGATAATATTGGCCGAATATTCTTCTGTATAGAAAAAAATACTTTATTTGAATACAGTCAACCCTTGACTTACAAACGCCCCTACATATGAACTTTTCAATTTACGAACGGCTCCGTTCGCAAAATTGGCATCGACTTGTGAACTGAGCCCCGACCTACGAACAAGTTTGAGGCTCCGTTTGCAAGTCAATGCCATTTTTTGTGAACGGTGCTATTCGTTGCCTTCGGACGTCAAAAAGGGCTTTCCCCCCTGACATGGGAGGAAGCCGTTTGAGACCTCCGAAAGCAAAAAGGCAGGGAGAAAGGGCTGGAAATTCAAATTTCCCACCCTTTCTCCCTGCCTTTTTGCCATTGGAGCTCTCAAAGGGCTTTCCACCCAACATTGGAGGAAGAGAGCATTGAAGGTGCTGATCACGGCAGCAGGGACCCCCAGGGAGGTCTCCCACGGTGGCGGGCAAGCCCTGGGAGACCTCCTTGGGGGTCGCCGCCACCCCAATCCACACTTTGGAGGTCTCAAAGAGCTTTCCCCCCAACATCAGAGGAAGCCCTTTGAAAGCTCCGAAGGCAAAAAAGCAGGGAGAAAGGCTGGAAGTTCGAATTTCCCACCCTTTCTCCCTGCCTTTTTGCCTTCCGAGCTCTCAGAGGGCTTCCTCCGATGTTTGGGCGGGGGGAAGCCCTTTGAGACGTCTGAAGGTAATTTTTTGAAATGCTGGGGTGGATTAATTTCGTTCCCATGCACTTCAATGGAAAATGGTACTTTGACTTATGAACTTTTCGACGTACGAACACCGTTCCAAAATGGATTAAGTTCATAAGTCGAGGTACCACTGTAGAGTTTAATTTTTATATATGGTTGGCTGACTATTATTTGAACATGTAAAAAGCTTGCTGCTGTGACTCATGGTAGCAAATTGCCACTAACTAGCAAGGCACCAGTGGCATTACAACACACACACCTGATTGTACATCAGGCATGTGTCTACTGATGTGATCCAGTGCCTCGCTAGTGACAATTTTCTGTGGGGTGTTACATTATTTAATTTGCCTGTGTGTGAATTACCTCCAGGATTCTGACTCTCAAGCTGATTTACTGTTATTCGAAGGACTGTCCTAGTAGAAAAACTGGGGGTCTTCCTTTCTTTAAAGGAGCAGTATATTTAGAACTAGAAGATTGCTTTCTGCCTTACTGCTTTTATTACCATTTTAGATTGAGACTGAAATATTTCTGAAAGGTTTCTTCTCCAATAAAAAGTAAATTTATCCTGTGTTTTTAATTTTAAACCTCTTTGGTACTTTCCTCTCTGTTGGAGACAATGAAAATGTTTTCAAAAAGAGGTGGGCTTAGATCTTGCATCCAGGGGTTATCTAGACATCTGTCCAGTTTCCCCCTGATTTGCACATCATCTGGTAATCATCCCGTAAGGAAAGGATGAATAAACTTTCCATAAACAGGGGCACTGAGCGAGTTGGTGACATAATACATTTGACTTTTAATTTTCTCCATATGGTGAGAGACTCAGAAATACTGTTGTTATCAAAATTGATTGCTTTGTGTTATGTATTCAAATTCTGGCGCAGCTGAGGGTAAATCAGATGAAAACTGTTCAATAGTTGCACTTTTCCACTGAAACGTAATACCTCTTGGGCTGATGTCACTGTCTCTTGTTTTCTTTAACTGGGAAGGATGTTTATTTCCCCCCCCGCTTGCTTGCTTCCCAGCTTTACTAGGAACGCACAAGAGTAATATGAATGTCAGAGAAGAGGCCTGTTGTAACAAGGCACACAGCAGTGTTTGTTGTCTACATTCCCGAACTCCAGAATGAACTGAATGGAGTTGTTGACTAGATAAAGACAGTTTGCTCACTCATGCAAAAAAGGAAAACAAGAAACAAGGAGAAATCATGTGTTTATTAAAAGGATGAACTTTGAGAATTTCAAGGAATCCAAGCATTGAGAAGGTTTGAAAGCAACAAGGAATTACGCACAGGATGCCAATGTTGTAAGTAAACTAGTAAAATTGTCATTGTTTTTAAATGAGGGTGAGAATAATTAAAGTTTTAACCTCCGACATGTTTTTATATTTGACAAAAATATTTTTATACATGGCTGACTTTCATGTGTTCAGCTTCTCTGGGTCTGCTGGAGATCAGCTACGAGGCAGCATAATTAGATTGGCATGCTTTGAACAAAACTAAGTAAGAAAGAATACCCACCAGCTGCAGAGATACCCAAGTGGATGTCACCTTGTCCTCTGCATGAACATTTTCCCCGCCCAAATACTGAAGATTTGGTAAACTATCATTCAAAGCTTCCTCAAACCTTAGTGTCTGCCTTTACTTGTTGAACATTCAGCCTTGCTGGCTAAGAGATGTTGGGAGTCACCATTCAAAAGGTAACTTTTCCATTTTTTGCCTATCCCACTTTGGCTGTGGACAGAGAGTGGGTCATGTGTCATATCTGTAACTTTAAAACCCCTCTGGCATTTCAGATCTTACTGACATGCCTCATATTATTTTCATATATGGAAAACTTATTTTACATTGCACCTTTCCATTCATGTGTTAAAAGGTAAATAATAATGCATTTTCTGGGCCCATTATTAGACTGAGGCAACCTGTTCTAAGATGGCCAGTGTACATTGTTGCTTTTACTTCTTAACTTGTCTTGTAGGTATCTGTGCCACAGTGAAATGAGGACGGTGAACCGGGTGCTTACCTTCCAGCTGGGCTGCCACATTGCTGTCATTGTTTGGAGAAGAACAGCATTGAATGAATTCTTTTATCTTCTATTGAGGGATCTCAATGGGACTAAATTCAAGAATAGATTCAGTGCTGTTAAAGCACTATACGTCCTATGGACTCTCTCTGCCAGGATTGTGGCCAGTTCTTGACAGTTGTGTGTTGGTCAATAACAACACCATACTGCTGGAGAAACAATTTTGATTTTTAGATTGTCCTTGCAGTCTTCAGTGTTTTTATCAGTTAGTTGAGGATGCCCCTCCCATCATATCCATATGACCTTTTATAGCTCATTAATTTTTTCTTTTGGTGACATACAGTATACTAATACTCATATCCCCACACAGTTTTTAAAAAAATAAGTTCATGTATAGTTCTGTATATTCTGATGTCTCCCACAAACAGCATGAAAAAATGCTGTGTGCATGATCTTGTGATTGTAGGTGCATGTGTTGGAATAGAAAGTATATCAGTCTGTATTTAGAAGAGAGGAAACTCAACACTAGTATTGACTCTGAAATTATTACATAAGCCTACAGGCATACATACATACATACATACATGCGTATATACACAGATGTTTCTGGCTTACTTTGAAAGCTGGAACACATATAGCTTAGGCTATAGTTCTATTTGGATTTTCTTTTACAGGTTGCACAAGTCTAGTATTTGATAAACAAAAATTGACTTAAGCATTTTTGTAATTATGATTAGGAGTGAATAGGCATTTACACAATATGTATCAGTATCAAAGAACTGATTCCTCATGCTTGCTTAATGCTCCCCTATTCCTTCTTTCTAATGTTAGGTCAAAATGAGCTGGGTATATTTTTCTGAATTGAATGATTTTCTATTTATAGCTGCATTCGTTTTTTCCAGTGCACAAACATTCTTAAAAGTTATCAGTTATCTTACAATCAACATCTATCAGATTAGGAGGGGAAACAAGCACTTTAATCATGTTAGGATATGAAATAAAGTCAACTAAATGACATAGAGGAAGATGAGAATCTAACAGGTAAATGCTGTTTTTTCATGACAACCTTGTGATTCTTGGAGGATTTCATTCTGTCATGGAGCGTTCTACCCTTTCTTCTAAGTCATACACAGTTAATATTAAGGTTTGTCAGATATGGCTTAAACTAAACTGTGGATATGATTTAGGGTTTGTTTGTTTTTTGTTCTGATTGTTTGCTTTTGGTTTTAACTCAAGCTGCAGTTTTTGTTTGAATCCAGTGAGTCAGTCTGTTACAGTAGACCTCCTTATCTATGGGATCCACTGATTTACTGATTATCTGCAGTTTTCAGTATCCATAGGGGGGACTTGGAACCTATCCCCAGTGGATATGGGGGTCCTACTGTATTTGCTTTTGAAGAGCAGATGAATAAGCAATGTTGAGTGTACAACTCTCTCTTAACTAGCTTCTGGACCTCCAATGGCCAAGGCCACTGCACACATTCTGCACCCATGGTTCTCAGCTGTGACATGTATTTGCACTCTGACACAAGCCTGAGTTAGAGTAAATCAATGTTGCATCTAGAACTCAGAGAAAAGATGTGGTACCAGAAATAGCATTATAAGTATTTGCCATCATCTGTTTCTGAGCAGTTGGCTCTTAGTAGGTTGTGTGTGCAGGCTGGTTTATTTTCCTTCCAAACAGTCTGAATGAAATATAGATCATACCAAGCTGCCTTGTTAAGTGTCACAAACCATGCCTTCTTCCCTTTTCATGAACCTCATTCCTCTTAGACTTGCAGAGGAAAAGATGTGAACAGCAGTTCACTTACAAGGAACAGAGAGGTAATTCTCTTAAATCAATTTGTTTACATTTCATCTGCTATTTAGATTCAGAACAGCCTAGCATGTTTACAGGCCTTTCAGGCAGTTTTCAATGTGCTGCTAACGTACATATTTGCTTAATAGGCCTTTCCTTGTGGTTGCAAAGAGGGAATGAAGGAGATCAGGCTTTTGTTGTTTTGTATAATAGCTGTAATATTCTTGGAGAAATTGTTATGTGAATCAAGGCAGTGAACTGATTACTTTTTCATAGGAAGAAAATAGATCTGTGTATATGCTACACTAGATAAATTGCTAAATGAATCAAACTTCTGTACCACAGTAACCCATATTTTGTGTCAACAAAAACAACTACACTGTGAGTTGTATTATGCTAATGCTACTTAAGCAATTTTCCACATTTTGATTCTGCTTCTGCTGCTCATGACTAAGGCTAGCATCTGAAATTGCAAGATCTTTTACAGGATCATCCAGTTGGTTCTCTTGGTTTCCTTTGATAACCTTCTCATTTTTATTGTGCATTCTGAGAATTTTAGTGTTTGAAATACTTTCATGACATCCAAAAATAGAAAAAGAAAAAGAAAGAAAAAGAAAAAAGGCGAACAGCACAACTCTGTACACATTTATTTAGAAGTGAGACATACTGAGTACAAAGGGGCTTACTCCCAGGTACGTAGCTCTGTTCTTACACACTTATGAGTAGAAATATTTAATGGATTATCTAAATGAGAATAATATTGCACTAGAGATGGGGGTATTCGTATATAAATATCCCTGCATAGCTGGACGTAACGAGGGTCTGGCCCCCTGGGGCCAGACTGTCTACTCAAGCATCCACTGCTCCTGCCAGCTCTGCTCTCCCTTCCAGTTGTCCAGAGCTCATGGTTGACTATCCACTCCTGGCATTAGGAGGGAAGATGAGTCTTCCTGCCAGGCAAACAAGTGGATAGCCGACTGTGAGCTCTGGAGCGATTGGAAGGGTGGAACCAGCAGCAGCAGCGGACGCATGATTGGACACATTGTTACATCCAGCTGTGCAGGGGTATTCGTACCCATCTCTATATTGCACTGTAATATCATTCCGTCTAGTATATGAGGGGCCATAGATCAGAGAGTGAATTCATGCTTTGTATGTAACACCTCAAAAGATACCAGGTAGTAATGCTTAAGTAATGCTTAAAAAAAAAAAACCTAAAAGGATTGGTGATAAAATGTATAAAACATTAAAAGTTTCCTTAAAATGCTTCCAAATTGTCCATTAAAATGAACTAGATTTTTTTATATTACTTGTTAATGTTATTTTTAAAATTACTCTTAGCACATTCCACTGCCTGCCCTCCAAGCTGGCCCATCAGGCTAGACAGTGGTGGTGTCTAATATGATGTAAGTTTTCTTCACATGTTCTTATCTTTTTAGTGAACTTTACATATTATATTAAGTTAAAAGTGCTTTAAAATAATTGTTGTGTGCAGTTCCATGGAATTGCTGTGGGTTCTTATTTCTATTTTTCCATTATATCCATGTTTGAAATAGTCTATTTGGCCACAATGTCAGAAAAGGGATAAGAGGAGCTATTTTATATGTTCTCTAGTACAGTTTTTCTTAAGGTTGAAAAAATGCACAAGTACTTGAAAAGGGCACAGAGATGGGTATTCTGAGTTTGAATGGAATACTTATGTAATATTAAATGTATGCTTCTCATTAAAGTAATAAACAAAAGAATGGGGGGCATAGAGACACAAAATGAATTCCAAAATCTTTATCAGGGTGATCGATCTTTATTAAACAAGCTAAAATGGCACAAAAAACCTATAGAAGGGTTTGAGATCACTTTTGCTTCAAGAGTGTAATGATGCCTCACAAAAAATTAGTAGTCTCAAAAGTTTGTTGTGACTTTCTGCCGTCTAACAAAGACATCAGCCAGCGTGAATTTTGGAATTAACTTGCTTTGTGAACAGATCATGCCGAAACGCAAAATGCTAGTTCTTGAAGTACCTTGATATAATTCTTTTAAATGACTTTAGACTAATGTTCAGGTGCCACCTTTATTCTTGATAGAAGGGTGGTGTTAATACTAAAGTGGCACATGGAAATTTTATCACCAACCAAGTGAAGCACCACCAGGCAGGAAAAAAGGCAGGAAAAAAAATCATCTTCTGAATTTTCTCCTGCTATATTTAAAAACACAGGAGCCCTGCTAAGAAAAACACTGGCAGTTTCAGGAAAGGTGATGTATTGTAGATGTTCAGATTTATTTAGTTAGCTGTATAGTTTTATTTATTTATTTATTTGTTTGTTTGTTTGTTTGTTTTCCACATTTGGTGTAAGTCAGTCATGTATTTAACCTACCAGTTCAGCTTGTCAACGCCTGTTTATTAATTGATTTAAACAAATTAACTTGACCTGCTTTTGGTCTGTTTCATTTTACCTAGCGAGCTATAGCAAATGAATAAAAATGGCAGGCGCCCACAAGTGTTTGTTAATCTAATTAAGAAATATATTTGCGAAGGCTTTCACGGCCGGGATCTAATGGTTGTTCGGACTGATGAGAGAAGGACAGAAAGGATTTTGATAACCCACAACAAGTGTTTAAATGTTGTTGCCATTACAGACATAGTGGTAAAGGAAAAACTTCAGTCCACCGTGAAAGGCAAAACTCTTTTATGCTGCAATAAATGTACTGTATGAAAATTTTCCACAGTGTGTAAAGGAAGATTATTCTCTAATGTTGTCCAGGGTGGTTTCCTATTTGTGTGTCTTACTGAAAAGTCCAAGGAAACAAAGGGCTCATCTACATGTGGCAGTTGGAGTGGGCTGGTGTTATTATGTGCCGTCAAGTAGCTCCAGACTCACAGTGACCCTATGTATGGGAAGTCTCCAAAATGTCCTGACCTCAATGGCCCTGCTCAACTCCTATAAACTCAAGCCTCTGACTTCCTTTAGGGCGTCAATTCATCTTGTATTTGGTCTTCTACTTTTCCTGCTGCCTTCAACCTTTCTAGCCTTATTGTGTTTTCCAGAGAATCTCATCTTCTCATGATGTGCCCAAAGCATGACAGCCTCAGTTTCAAAATTTTGGCCTCCAGTCTTGATTTGCTCTAGGACCCACTTGTTTATCTTTTTGGCCATCCAAGGTATCCAAAAAGCTTTCCTCTAGTACCACAGTGATCAGAAATCAAGAGTGTGAATGTTCTTGGTCTTGGTCTCCAATGGCATATCTTACACTTGATTTTTTTCTAGTTCCTTAAATGCTGCCCTTCCTAGTCTGAGCCACCTTCTGATTTCTCAGCTGCAGTCTCCATTTGGATTGATGGTGGGCCAAGGTTTAGAAAACCTCTAATTGTTTCAAATCCTTCACTGTCAGTTTTAAAGTTGTATAGTCATGATTTTTTCTTCTTAATGTTCAACTACTGTCCTGCTTTGGCACTTCTTTCACTAAAAGTTGTTTCCAATCATTGTTGCTTTCTGACAGTAAGAAGCATATCTTAAATTAAGCCATCCAGGGACCTTTGGGAGTGGGCGGCATATAAGTTAAACAAACAAACAAACAAATAAATAACTGATGTTTCTTCCACCAGTTTTTGTTCCTCCTTCATCTGAATCTTATATAGCTTTCCATATGATGTGTTCTGTTTACAGATTGAACACATAAAGGGATAAAATGCACCCTTGTCCGACACCTTTGCCTATAAGAAACCATCCTCTCTCTCCATATTCTGTTCTAGTGGCAACATGTTTTTGACAATATAAATTACACATCGGGACAATCAAGTGCTGAAGCACACCCATTTCTTTCAGAACAGCCCATAATTTCTTATTTATTTGTTTTTTTTGTTTTTTGTTTGTTTGTTTGTTTGTTTGTTTGTTTGTTTGTTTGTTTGTTTGTTTGTTTGTTTGTTTGTTTGTTTGTTTGTTTGTTTGTTTGTTTGTTTGTTTGTTTGTTTGTTTGTTTGTTTGTTTGTTTGTTTGTTTGTTTGTTTGTTTGTTTGTTTGTTTGTTTGTTTGTTTGTTTTTTGTTTTGTTTTGTTTCCGCCTATCTGGTCTTATGACCACTCTAGGCGGTGTACAGTCAAAAGCTGCCAAGCACAGACTGATCTTTTGAAAATCTTTTGTGTGCACTAGTAGCCAGCAGATATTTGCAGTATAATCTTGGGTGCCTCTTCCTTTTCAGAATCCTCTTGGATGCTTGCCTAAAAGCTTTCAGTTTCATCTGCTGCCCAGGAGCTGCCTTGAAGAGGGTGGATGCATCTTAGTCTGGTGCCTTAGCTGTGGACATTCTGCCTTGGTTGACCCTGCTAGGAGTCCAAGCTCATAATGGATTCTGGCCTCCTGATGGCATTTCTTTCAGCTTTGCTGACACATTCAAACCCCTTCACCTTGTTAAAGTGTCATCCAAGAAGGAATAAATAAGATACAGCTGTCTGATTATCATCAGACATATGGGACTGGTAAAGTTGCACAGGTAGGATTAAGATTGTGCAGTCGGGTTGGCCCATGGCTTGAGCAAGGGGGGTGCCTTACCCTGTAACAACTCCTGATCTCCATTGGATATTTGCTTGGAAAATGTTGGATGGTCAAATCCCTGCCACATAAACCATATTTCATGCATTTCACCAGCTTTGTGATGTATTTCTTCAATATTATATAAAAAAGTAGATTTTTTAAAAATAATAAATTATAGCCTTCTGCCGAACACTGGCTGAAATCCTGTTGGTTAGCCTAGTAGCAATGAGAGCAGGCCCATTGGATCAGTGTTGAATTGGTGAATCAACTGCTCCATCAGCTGCATTGATTTAATAGGCCTACTTTAGTTGTGAGTTACTATGCTAAGGCAAAGGTCCCAGCCAGTCCGTGGCCTAGGCAGGACTGGGCCGCAGACACAGATCTCCTGCCCCATCCCCGTGAGCACTGCCCTTGTGCACAAGGATGCCACACTCCCACACAAGCATGCAACACCCGTGTGCACGGACCCTGCCCCCCCCAATCAGCCTGTGGTTGGGGAAAGGTTGGGGACCACTGTGCTAAGGAACAGGATTCCAGTCATACTGTGTTTTGGAAATTGTTTTTAAGAAAGGAAAAAAATAAATATCAAATTTAAGCATTCTTACATTTCAATGTATTCGCGAAGGCTTTCACGGTCGGGATCTAACGGTTGTTGTGGGTTTTTTTTCGGCCAAGAAGCCCGAAAAACCCACAACAACCATTCTTACATTTCCTTCCCCTTTTTTTCAAAATGCTGATGAGATTTTTGTGGTTAAGTGTTCTTTCCTCCTCTCTATCTCTGGTTTGGTACAGATAAAATTTAGTCAATAGGCTTATTAGGAGCATTGATTTTTGAGGTATTAATGCATAATTTGTATTCAATGCTTTTTTAGGATTTTAAAATCCCTCCAATTGAATATAAAAGAGCTGTGCTTACAGAAAATTCACTTATTATCTGATCTTCACATCTATTCTATTTAAGGTAATACTGTGCACATTTTACCTAGTCTCACATATTGTGTCCACTTATTTTTGAGCCTCGAAGTACACACAGTTTCTCTTGCTCTTTCAACTGCAGTTCCTCTGTGATTCCAGAACAGCTCGAAATACTCCTAGTCAGAAGACAAAATGTAGCTATTCTGTCTAGCATCCCTCCCTCCCTTCTGTTCTTCCCTTCTTTCCTTCCTTTGTTCATATTTTGGTGGTAAAAGAAAAGAAAGAAAAGAAAACACTGAAGCATTGCAGGCGAAAGACAGTTATGTCAGGACTCCCTGTAAAATTCCACAAATGAAGCAAACAAAAAAGCAACTGGAGAAAATCTGGGATTCAGACTCTGAAGAGGAGCAAGGCAGTGGATTTTGAATCCTTGCTTTTATTGTGTGGTTTTATTGGAATTGTCAGTTATGTGCTGTCAATTTGTACTAACTTATGGAGTCCCTAATAAAGCTTTCAAGGAAAGTGAGATACAGTGGTGCCTCGCTTAACGGGCGCCCCATTTAACGAAGAAATCGCATAGCGATTAACTTTTTGCGATCGCAAAAGCGATTGCATTGCGATGTTCCCTATGGGGAAAAATCGCTTTGCGATGATCGGTACCTTGTTTCGCTTACCGATCATCGCAAAGCGTTGATTTTTTAAACAGCTGATCGGCGGTTCAAAAATGGCCACCGGGGAAAAAAAATGGCTGCCCGCTGTTTTCTGGGACGGATTCCTCACTTACTGGGCAGCGAAAATGACCGCCATATGCAGGATTTTCACTTAAAGGTGAGTCTGAAGCCCATAGGAACACATTGAAGGGGTTTCAATGCATTCCTATGGGCTTTTTAATATCGCATAGTGACGAAATCGCTTTGCAGCGATTTTTGCTGCACCGATTATCGTTGCTATGCGAGGCACCACTGTACTTGAGTGACTTTACCAGTTTCACATCCTCAGCAAGTTCCAATGGCTGAGTGGAGATTCAAAGACAGGCATCCTGAGTCCTAGTCCATCACTCCATCCACTCTACCACACAATAGCATATATTACTGACAGTTGTGGTTGGCTGGATAACTCTGTGAATTAAACATCTCACTGTGGAGCGAGAGGCTGGAGTTTGATTCCCCTCACTCTGCCCCCAGGAGAAGAGCCAGCCTGTGTAAGCCTTGAACATGTTGCAAAGTCCTAAAGTGGTCCTAAGAAGAAGGGAATGGTGGACCACCTCTGAGTACGCTATACCTAGAGAACCCTGGAAAATCGAAATTGATGTGATGGCATGTTGTTATATGAGAGGGACAAGTTTAGAAGAGGTAGGTGTATTAGTCTGTGATAGCATATCAGGCAAAAACAAAAAGGGGAGGATAAGAAGACAAAAACCATGTGGCACCTTAGACCAACTGCTATTTTTAATGTGAGTTTTCATGGACAAGTCAAAAGTTTGAGAAGGACAGTGCAGGTAACCAATTAAGATTAAGGACAGACAGAAATTGGAGCAATCTCTCTCCTCATGAGTTGAAATAAGTAAAAGGGGACTCCTGCACTTAAGAGTAAACATGCTGTAGACCAATCTCTCTTTAAATGAACAACTCGCTTATCTTTTGATGATATGAGGGACACTTCTCTCAGGATTGTTTTCATTAGGCTCACAGAAGAAGAGAATATTCTTCTCCTCCCTGTATATCACAGACCGTGTTCTTCTGTCTTTCTCCACAACTGCTACTGGGAAAACTAAGTACACTGTGTGTATTCATACAGTTATTTTGGCTCCAACACACTTCATTTTCAGAATGGCTTTATGCTCTTATCAGGTATATGCTGCCATCGTGTGGTTCTTTTTGAACATTTTCAGGAAATATTTCTGAGGTGAACAATGCAAAGATGGCAGGTGTCTAACCTTGAAAGGCAAAATAGACAGAAGTACGTAGAAGTAAACTGATGTCATGGAAGCTAGTCTATCAGTGGCTCCTAGTCATGCCTCTTACTTCTTCCAGGATCAGAGGTAGTGTGCCTGCTGGAGGACAAGAAAGAAAGAAAGAGGGCTCTTGCTTTCATGCCCTGCTTGTGGACTTCCCATTAGTATCTTGATGGCCTCTCTGAGAAATAGGATGCTGGACTAGGTTGATATACTAGGATGCTACTTGTGCATGTACCAAGAAGCATTTTCAATCTTCAAATAATATAAACCAAGACTAATCCAATGTTGCACACAAAACCAAACCAAACTTGAAACCTGCTTATTATATTTTACAATATTTATGTCATAAGAAATTCTTTTCCACACTTACAAGAGATGATAGCATGGTATGTATGTATGTATGTATGTATGTATGCATGCATACATGCATGCATGCATGCATGCATTTATTTATTGTATTTATACCCCGCCTATCTAGTCATTTCGACCACTCTAGGCGGCTATTAGAGAGTCATTGTAGTGAAACTCCATTTAAGTTAAGGTTTTGCATTTCTACAGATTAAGTAGAAATTATTTTTGTTGTTTACTTGTTAAGTCGTGTC